TACACGGAGGCTCTGGAATTCCAGAGAAATTCTGCCAAAAACGCCGTGGAAGCTCCGGAATTCCTAAAAAATTCCATCACAAACCCCGTGGAAGCTCTGGAATTCCAGAGAAATTCCATCAAAAACTCCATGAATTCCAGTGAAATTCCATCAAAAACCCCACAGTTTCCCAGAATTCCAAAGAAATTCCATCAAAAACCCCGTGAATTCCAGAGAAATTCCATCAAAAACCCCATGAAATCCTAAAAAATTCCACCAAAAACCCCGCGGAGGCTCCGGAATTCCTAAAAAATTCCATCACCAACCCCATGGAAGCTCCGGAATTCCAGAGAAATTCCATCAAAATTCCATCAAAAACCCCGCAGAGGCTCCAGAATTCCAGAGAAATTCCATCAAAAACCTCACGGAGCCTCCAGAATTCCAGAGGAATTCCATCAAAAACCCTGCGGAGGCTCCAGAATTCCCAAATTTCAATGGATAATACTTTCCATTTATTTGTGCAGTTATTTTAAGAGGAGAAATCCCCCAAAGTTTCTTTTTTATCCCCCCAAAAAAAATTTTCCCTGGAAAATTCGCCTCACATTGGGAATTTTTGCTTAAAAAAGTTTTAAAGTTTTTTAAAGGTTTTTTTATGTTTTAATTAATTTTTTTTTTAAGTCTTTGTTGTTTTAATTAAAGTTTGATGTTTTAATTCAAGTTTTTTAGGTGTTTAATTCAAGTTTTTTTGGGTGTTTAATTCACCTTTTTTGGGTATTTAATTCACCTTTTTTGGCTGTTTAATTAATTTTTTTTTGTTTTAATTAAAGCTTTTGGGGTGTTTAATTCAAGTTTTTTTTGTGTTTAATTCAAGTTTTTTTGGGTGTTTAAATCAATTTTTTTTGGTTTTTAATTAAAGTTTTTTGAGTGTTTAATTCAAGTTCTTTTTGTGTGTTTAATTCAAGTTTTTTTTGGTGTCTAATTCAAGTTTTTTGGGTGTTTTAATTAAAGATTTTTGTGTTTAATTCAAGTTTTTGGATGTTTAATTAAAATTTTTTTGGTTTTAATTAAGGTCTTTTGAGTGTTTAATTCAAGTTTTTTTGGTGTTATTTCAATTTTTTGTTTTTTAATTAAAGTCTTTTGCGTCGTTAATTCAAGTTTTTTTTGGTGTTTAATTCAATTTTTTGGGTGTTTAATTCACCTTTTTTTGGGTCTTTAATTAAATTTTTTTTGTTTTAATTAAGGTTTTTTTGTGTTTAATTCAAGTTTTTTTTGGGTGTTTAATTCACCTTTTTTTTGGATGTTTAATTGGAGTTTTTTTGGTATTTAATTCAATTTTTTTTTGGTTTTTAACTAAAGTCTTTTGTGTAGTTGGTGTTTAATTAATTTTTTTTTGTTTTTAATTAAAGCTTTTTTTGTGTTTAATTCAAGTTTTTTAGGTGTTTAATTCAAGGTTTTTTGAGTATTTAATTCAAGTTTTTTTGTGTTTAAAGTTTTTTTTGGTGTTTAATTCAAGGTTTTTTTGGTGTTTAATTCAAGGTTTTTTTGGTGTTTAATTCAAGTTTTTTGGGTGTTTAATTGGATTTTTTTTGGCATTTTATGGATTTTTTTTACTGTTTAATTGGGGTTTTTTTGGTGTTTGGGAATTTTTTTTTTGGTGTTTGGTGGGAGATTTTTTGGAGTTAAATTGGAATTTTTTTGAGTTAAATTGGAATTTTTTTGAGTTAAATTGGAATTTTTTTATGTTAAATTGGAATTTTTTTGGCGTTTAATGGGAGATTTTTTGGAGTTAAATTGGAATATTTTTGATATTCAATTCGATTTGAATTTTTTGAGTGTTTCATGGGAGTTTTTTGGGTGTTTGGGATTTTTTTGGTGTTCAGCTGGAATTTTTGAGGAGTTTAACTGGAATTTTTTTGGTGTTTAATTGGGATTTTTTTGGTGTTCAGTTGGAATATTTTTTTGCAATTTAACTGGAGTTTTTTCCA